AATATATTAATATTATTAAATATATAAAAATAATTTCATAAAATTAGAAGAGTATAAATATAATATATAGTATAGTAGTTATTATATATACCAACTTGGTAACATTTAAAACTATAACATATATTAATTTGACATACTATAAAATACTAATATATAACTTAATTATAGATATTGATTTATGATTAAGCAAGTTATATTTTACAAAATAATATATTTAATTAATAATAAATCATAAACAATATATTATATAATCAACAAAATAATAGATTACATATTTTATATTATACATTAATATATAATCTATTATGATTATCTATAAATATTGTTTTATATATAAATTATGATATATAATATTCATAATTTATATAGTAAAGCTTATTATAAGAATATTAAACTTTATTATTATTATTAATGGTTCAATAATTAATATAATATAAAATACATAATACTCAAATAAACCGCTAAATTATTCAAAAAAATTCAAATAAACTCTTATTTTTATTGTCTTCAATAAAGCTCTTATATTTTTATTTTATTCAAATAAGCTTTTATAACTAATAATTGATTAATTGTCATTCTTCAAAGTGTCCTTTGTCATTTATATATCTACATGACATTGATATGATTTTGATCTGAAGGGTGAAAAAATCACTTGATTATATTATCATACCAAATTAACATGTAACAGTATTCAATTATAATATATTAACATATCATGTTAATGTTACATAGTATAAAATGATAAATAGTATTTTAATTAAATCAATAAATAATTATGATGGCTTTTTTAACTTAAAATAAAATATAAGAATTTATTTGATTTAAAATAAAATATAAAAACTTAATTAAATATAACGAAAATATGAAAAATTTATTTAAATTTTTAAAAATATAAATTGAATATATATATATATATAATTTTGTTGATATTATCCTTCTCTGGTAGAGCTTCAATATGAGTACCGACCCACCCAACCCAACCTTGTGGGTAGAAAATATGGATTGGGTCGGGCCAGTTCATTTTTTATATGGCTATCATCAAAACTCAACCCAACCCACCCTTGTTAGCCCATGGCTTGGTTAGGCCATCTTTTATTTTTATTTATTTTACTTGATAAATTTTTTATTAATAAAATTTTCTATGATTAATTCATAAATTGAATAATAAAAACATATTACAAAAACAAATTACATCAAATATAAAAAATAAATAAATTACATAATAAAGTTTAAATCTTTAACACAAACTACTATCATACAGTTTATAGCCAAATAATAAAAATTTCAAGACTCATTTATATCATCTCAATCCTCATTCTCAAGTAAAAATTTAAATCTTATTTAGACAGTAATAATTTTCAAGATCTGAATCATTATTAATTTATCATCTAATATTCATTACCATAAAAGAAAAAGAGATAATAATTTTTAATTTAAATTAAAATTTTTAATTTGACAAATAAAGATTAAAGATATTAAAATATATAAAATAAGTAATATTATTAGTAACTAAATTATTAATTTTATATAAATATATAAAATTATTTAATTAAATATATAAAATTATTAAATTAATTAAAATTATTTTTTTCTGAAGATCCGCTCCAATCCACCTCAACTCACTAATTTGATGAGCTGATCTATTAGATCCGATTTTAATATAAACTTAAATTTTTTAACTCAACTCATTTCATATTTAATAAAAAATGAATCGATTTAATAGTCGAAGCTCATCTTGACTGATGTACTATCTGGTATGCGATGAATGAAAATACACTACTTTTACCAACTCTGCCAACAATTTCTTGGTTTAAAAATAATAAAACTCTCACTTTTTTTTTTAATTTAAGAAGGAAACAAATCCTAATTAACCAAGCCTTGCCGCCTTGATTTTTTACCAAATTTTCAATCTTTCAGATTCCCTGTGCCCACAAAACCCTTGCCGCCCCTTGCTGACCTCCGGTGAATCTCGGTGACCTTCGGTGCGCTGGCTGGCCCACGTTTCCTCTTGCTGCCTTGCCGTTCTGTCTGAAGTGTAAGTGCGACCCACGCTGCCTCTTATGTATGTCGAAATGTTTGCCTTGTCTTCTGCCTTGTTTCTTGTTTAATTGCTGCCTTTTTGTTTGTTTAATGGCGCCTTCGTCGGAATGCATCTAATTTTTCATAGAGCTTTCACTTGTTCTTTTTGTGCCTGGGACAACTTTAACTTTCCCTACCAACTGAGACACTTGTTAATTTCCCTTTTCATAACCACTCATTAACATCTTCCTCATAACTTTGAACCCTTATTTCAGCACTTTAACTTCCAAAAAAAAAAGGGTTTAGAAATTGGAATTATCCTTATATATTTATAATCAATTTTAAAACGAGAAAAATTAGAAAGTCATCAAAGTAGGGAATCAAACTCTATTTTGTGTAATACCAATCTCATAGCTCTATGTTCTGGATGCCAAAACAAAGATTGTTAATTAATTTAAAGAGTTAACTACATCTACCTCCATCAGTTGAATCTAATTTTTAGCTTTCTAGTACAAGGCTAATACAATTATTATACCAATTATGTATATGCATCTTACTTGCACGCTAAATGATTATGTAAAACACATACAGGTTTTCAAACCTCCCGCACTGGTGCAGACACTTTATACAGAGAAGAAAAGAAAGAAACAATAATCTCACGAGTTAAATGATCAACTAATTCATTCAAAAGCAATAGGCCTACATTTATGTTACCCTGCATGTTTAGAAACTACAACCACAATCTATCTCTGTGTTTTACAAGTCACAACCATATTCTCAGCAAGATTACTTCAGAGTTTCTGTAAATGACACTTACATATGTTCAGTTCAGAAACATAAATTGTCTACCAAAAACCGGGGTTCCTCCTTCATTAATTAATATGGTAAAATCACCATGTACAAAACAGGAAACTGATTTGTAAGGCACAACAAAATATCATGAAAAGTACCTTGAGTGTGGTAAAACTTACTGCCCATGAGCAGGAAAGACCAATGCTGTTCCCTTCCAAACATCGGTAGACTCTTGCAAGCAATGTGAAAAAAACCTTTAGGAAACAACGTGAGCAGTAGTTTTAGAAGTAGAAAAATGAAAATTCAAATATAGTCAAGAATATTGACTATATATATTGTTGATGGACATCCAGTATAGTGACAGATAAAATGTTAGTAAATCTGATATCTAGTTTTTGTGAGGAAGGCTTCAATATTTTGTTATAGACTTGTTACACAGTATGCACATTACTGCATATATGACATTTGTTTCTTCTAAGATATGGGCTAATTGCCTTGTCAGAACATTATTTTTTGGTAAAGTAAATTACAGTTTTTGAAGCCAGTTTTATACTATAGGACTTTGAGGATGATGCTTGACTGAATTTACTAAATTACATTCTCTTTTGGTTTTCCATTCTTGTTTTCATGGGGTATTTGCGTTAATCTGATTGGCTCAAGATTGTTGGTGGATTTATTATGAAGAGAGGAAGTGACGTGGACGTAACTAGAAGAAGATTAACATAATGATCACATATGTTAAGCTCATGATTCAATTCTCATAAATTTTTATAGGGTTAACACTTCCCAACTTAAAAGTTGTAAGTTTTATGAAAGTGTTTAAAATTTGATGGCATATTATTATCTGAGACGTATGTTGGCTCTGTAAAATTTTCTTCTTTTATTTATTTGAGAAAGAGAAATTTAAATTAAATTTACTGAGTAAAAGTATATTATACATTCACTTATCATTGAAACAAATGTTTTGATATGATTTTAAAATATTTTAAAAGTAACTTGGTATATATATATGCACACACTTGTTATATGTCTATTTAATTTTGATAATTAAAAAAATAAATTTCAAATTAGTTAGTTCTCATACTTGATTTAATATATATCTTAAGCATATAAACACGCTTGTGAAATTTTAATGTAAATTCTATCACTAATGTATAAAAAAGTATTAACCTTATAATATCGAACTATATATCCTAGGACATTGCTAGAACTTTAGGAAGCTCCTTTAGCCCAATCAAATTGTCTCTAATTGCTCCTGCACATGCTAAAAGAAAACTTGAACTAAAGACAACCAGCTGGATTAAGCAGAGGAGATATTTGAGCTTGATATAGTTGAACTATTACAATTAATTCATAGCAGTGAAAGAGGGACAAAAAGTCAATATTACCCTACCAGAAACTGTAGAAGAAAATTGAGGAAAAACGATGAAGCTCAAGCGAAAATAGTATTTTTTTGTTAAAAGTTAAATTAAGGTCTGTTTGGCAACCAGAAAATAACTTGCTGGAGGAAAATTTTGTCTGTGCAAGTTTACAAGAAAATTTAATATTTTTTATCATTTGGATAAACTGTTGAAAACATTTTCTATTGTTTGGATCATTCTGTGCAAAATATTTTCCACCTTCACTGGTGGAGCTAGTTGGGTGATAAATAAGAGTTGCTTATAATAAAATGTGCCATTTGGTTCTCATTAAATTTGAATCAAAATTAAAAATGGAAATGAAAATTGACAAAATAAATAATAATATTTTTCAAAGCATTTAACGGCATATGCAAACTCTAATTTTAAAAAAAAAATTCATCTTATCATTTTTTTACCATAACACTTTAAAAATATCAATATTTATCAATTGTGTAAAACATCCAAAACTTATATTTATAAATGTGTATTCATTAAATGGCGATTATTGAAATATTTTTTACTATAATTATTAGTAAGATTAATTTAATTTATAAATAAAAATTTTAATAGCATTGAATGATTTTATTAAAAAATATTTTTTAATATTTTAATAGTATTGAATAATTTAAATATTAATTTTTTAAGTTAAAAATTTTAACTAAATATTAATATTTTTTAATATTTTAAGTTAAATATTAATATTTTTTAATATTTTAAGTTAAATATTAATATTTATCAAAGTTATACTACTAGGTTTAGTATAAAAGTGTTTTTCCAATCCTCCGGAAAATGTCTTAACGCCTTTCAAGGCTTAAGACATTTTATGTGTTCAATGGGTGTTTTTCCTGTTGACCTGTATAATGTTTTATATCTAAAATAAATTTTTTATCTTTCAAACAAGTAGAAGTCTTGAAATCATTTTCCGAAAAATATTCTACGTCAAAACAAACCGACTCTTAATTTTTCATTTTTTCCCTTAATTGTATGCATAGTTTTGCACACGTCAGCTAATAAACGCATGCTGTCTTTTTCACATGACTAATAAATGCCAACATGTTAAGGATTTAACGGAAGTCCAAGTCACATGACCAATTCCGTTCAAATTAGGGCTTCTATAGTGAAAGATAAGACTTCCAGGGGTTTAATTAGATACGATTAAAAGGAAACATGCTTAAACTTAAAATGCCAAAATTTTTCAAACGGCTCTTCATTGCAACCATAACACCTCCGTCTACCAATCCATCAAGCTTTCTAGACCTGAATCAATTTTTGTTTTTAAGATTTTCTCAGCAGCGAATGGAACTCTTTTCAGTTTTTGTCCAAATTTCTTGGTAACCAAATGGAAGTTATCTCTCTGTTCATCTTTTATTTTTTAAAATTTTCTATTCCTGTTTAAATATCTCGATTATCTAATTGTATTTCAAATTTCTTGGCTTGAGTTTTGAATCTTCTAGTTATAACCACGTGTTAATGTAAATTATATCTTTTGCAGATCTTGAAGCAAGAGTATTTTGTGATGGGTATTTTACTATTTCTCTCATTTTCGTTTCAATTTTCTTGGTAACCAAACAGGCTTTTTTCCTAATTTATCTATTTATTTTTGTTTTCTTTTCCTTTCCTTTGAGTTACTATAAATCTATATATATTTTTAAAATTTTTTTTTTCCTTCTGACCTGGTTCATTAGATGGTTTAATGTAGACATTTTTTGTAACTCTCTGCTACTTAGTTGGGCATATATGATGAATATCTATATTATATTTTGATTCAATGCGTGCATTTTATTTAGTATGAAAGTAAAGGTATATGGAGTGGATTTTAAGGAGCTTCTGTTTCTCCTTTTTGCTGATAAACTCCCTGATTCATAGCAACCCCATCAAATTCCTCCTTCATGTAACCCTATGCCTTTCATAACCACTGTGACTGCCACCTTGTTGTAGATATGAAGATGATGATATCTGATTTGAAAATATAGGGTGTAAATTGTGTTTTTTTTTTTAATACTAATTTGTAAACTTTATTTTAATTCCATACCACATTTGCATTGTTTTTGGCGATTGGGGTGTTTTTGTTTTTGTTCATTTTCCTGTGTGGGTTAACAATGAAGCAAAATGAATAGGGTTTTGAAGTTCTGTAATGGCATTGGGTAGTATCGCAAGTAAATTAGCGAGGGAAATTGGGAGTGTAGTGAAGAAGGCAGTAAGCTCAAACAGAGGATGGTACAGCCCCCACATGGCTGCGGCCTCATGTGCCATTGCTCAACGGCTTCCATTGGTCGATCTCATTGTTGAGATCAGAGATGCCAGGGTATAATTTTTTTTATTTGTCGTTATGCTTTTTCTGTATGGTTAAATTTCTCAACCAATTTGTTGACTGCTTTAAGCTCTTAGATTCCTTTATCGTCTGAGTATGAGCTGTTGAGAATCGTTCCTCCTCCTTGTCCTCCTTCTAAGCGAATTGTTGTCATGAATAAGATGGACCTCACAAACCCAACCCAAATAAAGGTTCTTATTCCATTAAAAATCCCCTTGGTCTCTGTTTCTTGTGTTGCCTACCAATCCTAATTGACTTTATTTGTTTTAAGAGGTTCTGCTTTACTTTTTAGGAATGGATGAGATATTTTGAGCAACAAAAGTGCATTTCTTATGGAGTCAATTCCCATAACAAGGACAGTGTCAAAGGGGTATTTTAACTCTCCTATCTACCTACTTAGATCTTTTCTTAGGAAGTCTTAAAGTAACCTTATGTCTTGTTAAGATATACTAACAATTGAAATACTTCATTTTTTACAGTTGCTTAACTTTATACAAGCTCAAGCTAGGGAACTGAACAAAGCTGATCATCGTTTTAGTGATGCCATAACAGTAATGCTAGTTGGGATTCCTAATGTTGGTAAATCAGCACTCGCTAATTCTTTGCATCAGATTGGGAGGATTAGTGCTGCAGGTGTTTTAACCTTCTCAAATCCTCTGGCCCAACATTGTTTTATTGTTGGAGTGTAGTGATTGTGGGTGCTAATTTTATTAACTCATTTAATTTTCTCTGTTGTTTCTCTCCTGCTTAAATGACCTTTAGGTGAAATCTAAATTATGCCATGTTCCTTCTCTTAGAGAAAGGTAAATTGAAGCATGCTTTGGTGAGTCCTCAGCCTGGAGAGACAAAAGATATCAGCAGCTTGAAGGTATGTATGTGACAATGTCATAATGGTCTTTTTTATTTTTTATTTTTAGCCAAGATTAATTTTACTCCATCAGAGTTGTGTTTGTAGCAGCATCATGTTGGGGGTTCATAATTGACTCTTTTGTCCAGATTGGTAGCCATCCCAATATCTATTTGTTGGATACTCCTGGTATTTTGCCTCCTACCATTCATGATGCTGAGCGCTGCTCCAAGCTAGCATTAACAGGTGGGGTGATAATGACTTTGTGTCCCTCTTTCTGTGTTATGAATTAATTGTAATAGTTCAACTATATCAAGCTGAAGTATCTCCTCTGCTTAATCCAGCAGGTTGTCTTTAGTTCAAGTTTTCTTTTTGCATGTGCAGGAGCAATTAGAGACAGTTTGATTGGGCTAAAGGACCTTGCTCAATATTTTTTGGCTATTCTCAACTTAAGTGACCAGTATGAAAAGTGGGCAAAATTATCAACCAATTGGGGTAAGGTGTCAATTTTAGAGCACAAAGAAGAGCATTCAAGTAGCTCTAAGTTGGAGATGAGACAGAAAAGGCAATATCTAACGGATCACACGCAGGTACGAGCTCTTATATTAGGCTTAAATACAAAGAAAGCCTTTGAATTATATCCATTTATGCAAGAAAGCCTTTATTCTTTTATTGTACCGAAGAAGTCCTTATCCTTTGTTTTGTATCCGCTCAAGCTTTTAATTCTAATGGAAAATTAACTGACATCAGACTTAATGCCAGTTGGCATTTTTCGTCCATGTTGCCACATCGCGGTTGACATGGATAGAAATGCCAGCTGACATTGAGTCTGACTGCTATTAATTTTCCGTTATGGTTAAGGGTTTGTGTGGAAACAAATAAGATGATAAGGGCCTTTTTGGGTACAAGAAATAAATAGGGGCTTTCTAGCATAAATGAATTTAGTTTAGAGATTTTTTTACTATTTAAGCCCTTATATTACTTACAAACTATTTTAACCGTAAAAATTGTGATAAACTCTTTCACTTTTCTATAAGACCAATGGAATAAGCTGCATTGAAAAAAATTCTGGTAGAATCTTCCTCTGGATCTATTTTTTAGGTGCTTTCAGGCTTATTCATATTTGTTGGTCATTAGCTCTTTCTCAATTTTTTGTTTTTGAAAATTTTCTTTCTGCCGCTTTGCTGTTGTTCCCTTATAACAATTGCCTCATGTATGTTGTGAAAAGCTTCTAATTGGAAATAAAATCTTTGGGCTGTTTATGTTATAAGTAGATAAAACCCATGCTTATGCCTAGTTGAGGGACACAGAATTTCTTGCTTAGTAAATGTAGTGACCCTAAATGTATGGTTGTTAAATTTATTTTGTGTTTAGGTTTATGAAGTGTCTAAATTTATTTCTACCATGCAGTACTCATGCTCATGGAGAGCTCTGATAATGAACAAGAACCCAGAGCTTGGCTTGGGTCTTACTTGTCATGAGACTTGGTCAGTGATCAAGTGGTGCTTGGATTGATATGAGGCATTTTCTGTGCACTAATAAAGTAGTAAATAAATATATAAATTTTGGAATTTTAAAATTTAAACAAGAAAAATGGAAGTTATTCTTTTTCGTATGATTAGTGACACCTCTCTGTCTTCCCAAACACTGAGAGAAAAAGATGTTGATGACTGTTCATGCAGGACTTCATGGTGCATGATGTTCGTCGGGCTCTTTTTGATGCCATTTCATCTTTTGATGGTAATCTAGAGTGTGAGGACGATATGGTAAAACTTATCGAGGCGCAGTTTGTAGCATTAAGGGAGGCTTTTCATGTTCAGGAAGAAATAGATCAAAATGTTCAAGATAAAGTTGCTGTCAAGTTGCTGAATTTGTGTCGTACTGGGAGGCTTGGGCATTATACTCTGGACCCAGTTCCTGCAACACACTGATTGTTTGTAAGCCATACATTAACAAAGTTAATGTGTTCATTTTGGGACAAACACCTCATTTCAACTATATATACAAAAAGAGTAACATTAAAGTGGATGATGGTTTTCCTAGTTCAACTACATACCTTATACTACATATTTAGAATTATTTACTAATAATGCCATATAAGTTATGTAGTACGTAATCCAGATATCGAAAATATACAAATCTCCATGACTTGCAGAACAGAACAGGGACTAACGTACCAAGTAATCCAAACCAAAATCCCAATGCAATGCTTAGAAAGGACCAGTCTACGTCATGTCGACCGTCCTCTTTTTCTCCTGCACTGCTGCTGAACGTCACAGCATTCGAATTCTCACTTAGTGGTGGTCCAAAGAGCTCAGTTCCAAGAAAGCTGGATGCATCTAAGCTTTGCAACTGAGTACTTGTTGGGATTTTTCCTGTAATTCTCTTGTTATAGGACAAGTTCAAGTGACTCAAGAAGGTTAGGCAAGAGATAGTTGGAGGGATTTTGCCAGAAAGTAGGTTTGTTGATAAATCAACACATTCTAATGATATCATGGCACCAATGTTGTCAGGAATTCTTCCAACTAAACGATTATGTGAGAAATTCAATGATTGTAGGCCTACAAGACTTGTCACCTCCTTGGGAATCTCACCTGATAAATTGTTGTCCGAAAGGTCCACAAGTTTAACTAGTTTAAGCGTATTGCTATACTCCACCACCCTTCCTTTCATCACAACTAATATATTCTCAAAAAAACTTCCCTTAGAAGTTCTGTAAAATATCTTGTCATGGGAATTATTTCTTGAGACCATGGCACTGAGATTGTTGATACAGCTTGGTATATTACCTGAAAAATTGTTATGGGAAAGGTCTAGAATTTGAAGAGATGATAGGACACAAAGTTCTTTAGGTATATTGCCATTAAACTTGCTCGTGTGAAGGCTGAGGATAATTAATTTTGAGAGCCTTCCTCCCATCCATGGGGGTATATGTCCGGACAACCGATTACCACCAAAGTCAACGGTAAGCAATTCTCTGCAATGTTTTATAGAGGAGGGTACTTCACCAACTAGACTGTTGTTTCGTAGGTGTAATGATTGAAGAGAAGTTAAACTTCCCATGGAACTGGGAATCTTACCACTAAAATTGTTGTCACAAAATTTTATCCCCACCAACCTTGGCCACTTCTTCCAACAGTCAGGTATTTCTCCTGATAAAAGATTATTCCCAAGATTGAGAACTTCCAACTTCATTGGCTCATTCACTTTGTAGCACAAGAAATGGGAGATAGATCCTGACATGGAATTGTTAGAAAGATCTATAACAGTCACATTCGAGGAGAGACGAGGTAATTGACCTCTGAAGTTATTCGAACTGAGGTCTATCACAACAGAAGGAAGAGCCATTGTGGGTAGATCAGGAATGTGACCTTGGAATTGATTTCTAGAGATATTTAGATAGTATAGATAAGAAGACAAGTTCCAAAACCAAGTGGGAATTTGAGTTTCTCTGAACTTATTGTTGCTTAGGTCCAAGTACGTTAAATACTTCAAATCTAGCAGAGAAGGGTTCAACTTACCCCCCAACTTAGACCTTTCATGCGCTGCATGACTAGCATCCTGAGAACTTCCAAGGTGGAGCTGAATAACATGGCCGGTTACATTACTGCAGACGATTCCATCCCATTTGCAACAATCTCCATCATTGGTCCAACTAGCTAATCGGTTTGAAGGATCCTTGAGATCTTGCTTAAACCTCAAAAGAGCCCGTTTCTCAATTTGAATGCAACTAATGTTGCGGTTTCTGGCACAAAAGCTAGGATTAAAAGATTCTAGAAATAGCAACATGATCAGGAAAGTAATTGCAACAGTACCCATGACTACCAGTTTTCAAGCTTCAAACAACATATGATGCTTTATCATGAAGGCTTTGTTATCGTTGTGCTACTTAAATAAGATTTTTCTAAAGAGTGTCCTAAGGGTACTATATAAGATTAGTTAAATTACTATTCATAATAATATTTCTGTATTAAATGCGATAGTTGACGGTTGATATTATGAATTTCAAAGCATTGAAAAAGCAATTACTTAATGTAGAAACCTTTAAGAACACTCTTAGGATATCTGTTAACAAAACCCTTATATTAATTTGGTTAAAAAAAATAATTTACATGGATTGGGTGTCCTCCATTAATTTTCTTTTTGGTTGACTAATGCATGAAAGTTTCTACCATACTTGTCTTTCATTCATTTAGCAAACTTCCCAGTGCTTCAATCGATTAAATGAGAAAATTCTTAGAAACATCTATCCTTGTCCCTTGACTATTTCTTGTGGAAAACTTTTCCATGCCATTAGCATTATTGAGACTCAATTATTGCGTAAGTCACTTGTTGTCTGATAGGGTACCCAAAAACATGTTAAACCGTTTCAATAATTTTAAAGGTTTGATTAACAAAGAATTAGCAAGAAGCATGAAGCCAAATAAAAAAAAAAAAGAATGTTATTGATTATCAAATCCTGATATAAATGCGATTCTAGGGTAGAATAACAAATTTAAAGCACAATAAATTTGAAATCACTATTTAGTTTTAATTTTGAATAGTAAAAAGTTTAACTGCACTTTCTTTCTTTTTTTGAAATTAGGTGACTTTTGAAAAGCTCCTTTCTTAGTTTGAATTTTGATTAGTAAAAAATTTGACTGTACACTTCTCTTTTAGATTTGGTAGCTTTTGGAAAGCTCTATCCTAATAGCCCAATGTGGTGTTTCACTTTTAATAGTTTTTATGTAAATTTGATGTTTTTCTTATTTTTTTGAAAATTTGGAGCTGGTGAAAGTGAATATACTAAACAAACAAAAAGATAGTTGTTGTTGACATATTTAAAAATCACCCATGATTTTGCACAACACAAACATTATTTAGTTTTAATTTTGATTAGTAAAAAAATTGATTGCATACTTTTCTTTTAGAGTTGGTAATTTTTGAAAAGCTTCCTTAATAGTCCAATGTATCTTTCACTTTCAATAGCATGGAGAAAAGTTTGATATGTTTTTTCTTAGAAAATTGGGAGCAGGTGAAGGTCATTGTTTGAAAGTTAAGTGACTTTAATTTGTTCATAGTCTTCAATACGTAACACCAACAAATAGAAGATAATGATAAGAACGTGAACATTATCAGCCCAGCATTTCAGTTCCCTTGGCCAAATGCTCTAGCCTATCCCAGGGGCATTTTGCATTTTTTCAGGAAGTTTTCTGTAAATCAATCAAAATGTTGATTATTGGTTTTTTCAAGGCCTACAATTAGTTAGACAAGCCATTATAATTTGATTGCCAACAAAGAACACAGTTGCAATTGCTTGGATGATATTCTTCTCAAGCATATTAAAGAAAAATTAAATAAAAAAGGGTTTGTGAGATTATTAAGCTACTAGAAATTTAAGTAGTATATTATCTTATATAGTTTTGGTTGAAGTCTAAGATTGGTCCATGTAGTATAGCAAACCATCTGGTTGCCTTCTGCTAATTGAAAAAAAACAAAGCATTTAATCTAAAAGACTCCATGGATCCAATAATTTAGGTACCACATCAACTCAAATTATCTTTTTTTTGGAATTACAGAAAGCCAGGACAGAAGATACTTTAATCTAAGTAACTAGTATTCCATCTAAAGAATTTTCAAAGACAACTTGATTAAGGTGGCTGTTGTCAGTGGTATATTCAAGATTTTGCATGAGAGGTGATTAAAAAGGGTAATCATACAAGCTCATGGATGTTTATATCTCAAGTTTTATATGTATAATAATAAACCACCACCTTGGTTTCACTCTTAGTTGTTGTTGATATATTTAAAAATTAGCTTGATAACTCTAAAATATAGAGCTATTTTGTCACATTTTGATTGTAAAAAATAGTTAAGTCTTTGTGTTTTCAAGTTAATTTTATGTAGTTTTTATACTTTCCTATACTTAGTTTAATACATTTGAATTGCTTTTAATTTGAGTAATTTGAGTTCATTTTTATAACAACAGTCTTAATTTAAGAAATTATTGATTTAATTTTTATTTTGAAGGTTTTCAAATGTAAAGAACTTTATGAAAGTGAAACATGCAAGATGGTTAGGTGCAGAATTTGTTGAATATGTTGTGGTCTTTTTACAATAATTTTCTCTACTAGAGTCCAAATAAAGTGATTCTTAGATCACTAGAAAGCTGAGAGAAAAAATTACAATTTTTTTGTTTATCACTTTTTTCAGTTCGGATTGGAAGGTAGTAAAAAATTCATGTTAAAAAGAAAGTACCGCAGTAAGAGAACAACACAAAACATAGCACTTGAGGGCCGCGGCTTTGAAAGGCATATGAGACAAATTTTTAAGTCAAAATACTTGAGGGCCATGGTTCTCAAGGTGATGGTTGCGGCACTGGATGCTTGTTTCCAAAAATAAATTGGTTGACAAGAAATTTTGGAATTAGGTTAATTTATGCTTATTTGAAGGACTTTTTCAAAGAATATTAGGAGAGAATGGCAATAGCTTTTTTAGAGATTTTGCGCTAAGAATCAAGCAAGAGAACAAGAGCAATTGAGAGAGATTCGAGATCACAAAACTTCAACATTAGTTTTTTTCTCTCTTTTGTGTTATTCTTATTTTCTTTTACTTGAATTCATCATTAAATTTCTTTGGATAATGTTTTGTTTAGATATCATGATCTAACTTATTTTTATAGGATTATGGTGAATTTCAACATGTAATTTGAATATTAATTTTTCTTTTATTTATCATGAATGGGTATAATTTACTTAGTCAAATTTGTTCTTTAACACTTTTAATTGTCTGATCAATAATTAACTAATTTGTAAATTTAATTGAAACTTGATAGAGGGATTTTACGTTGTATTAAGATTTGAATAGTATATGTTCACATCACTTAGGTGATTTGATTCGCGATTTGGATAGACATACGCCAATCGTCATGCATAGCCAAATTAAAACACTAGCTTAATGAATGTAATTTAATTGATTCCTATAAACATATAATGAACTAATTAAGTTAGGTATTTGTTCAAGCATCTCGACAGAAACTTATATATAACTTTGGATTCTAGGTTAATAATACAACCCAGGAAGATAAATAATAAGTGAAGCTAGTATCAAATGAATAATTGAATGAACCCATAATCTTAGGTCTTTAGTCTATTTTCTATCTCAAGTAAATTTAATTTCGGTTAGTTAATTTAGTGATTATTTTAATTTCATTTTAATTAATTTTTTATAAATTTTGGTTACTTAAATAAGATTGAATTGTTATAAAATTTTAGTAGTTAGTAAAAATTTAGGAACAAATTTTTAACGGCACCATTAAGTTTGAAAGAAATAAGAAGATTAGGCTTAATATAATATAAATAGGATTCGAAAGCTAATAGAATGGGAGAATTAAAAAATAAAATATTTTTAACAAAAATAGACAACGGGAGAAAGCAAATTCTTTTCTTTTTTTATTTTTGAGGAAAAAAAGGTGGGTCTTTAAAAGAAAGGGAAAAGAAGGTTTTAATTAGACGAATTAAGAAAAGAAGTATGTTTTATAGAAAAAAGTAACAAAATAGACAAAAAGAAAGACATTTTTATTTGTGAAGAAGCAGATGGGTTTCCAAAAAAAAGATAGAGGAAGGTTTTGTTTTAATAAGAGTACATTGACTGCTAAAAAAAAAAGATGGAATGGCTTCAGGAAAATAGATATCGTTAATCGAATTTGACTTGTAGACTAACCCAAAAGCCTTTTATAGGTAGCAGAATAGAATTAGGCCAATTAACAAAAAATTGACAAAAGGGAGACAAATTGAACCAAATATCTAAAGAAAGAAAGAAATCAGCGAGAGACAAAAAATAGGGCGTTACAATTTACTCACGTGTATACAACAATATCTCGAGTATTGCAAAATTATGAGGAGAATTAATAGCTCTTGACAATAAAACTATGAATTGTGAAGACTTCAGCTATAGGAAGATGAAAATCTCTATTGTTATTGTTAAGATCATTATACAAATTATTTAGTTAGAGCTATTAGACAATATTATTATATAGTTAGACTATAATATCTTATTAGATTTATACTATAATAATGTTAGTTAGTAAGAGTTAGATTATGAATAAGATTAGGATTAGCCTTATATATATATATATATATGGTCAAAAAACCTATCCAATCCCTATACTCTTCAATTTTATTCAATTTAGTCCATGTACTCAAAATCAAAGCAATTTAATCTCTTGATTTTGGGAATTGCGTCGATTTAGTCCCTTTCTTTACTTGTATTCAATTTTGCCATTCAAGGATGATGTCATCGTTGACATCAACAATGACATGTCATAATTTGATGATATGGCATGCCACGTGGGATCGAGTGATAACATGACAATGCCATGTGACACTATATAATGATGTGGCTATGCTGACATGGCATTAACATGTCAGCATGTCAATACCACGTGGCAGATCAAAAAAAATTTCAAAAAAAAAATTCTACCACGTGATAGGAACTAAAGTGAACAAAAATATAATGTATGAGGATTAAAGTAAACAAAATTGAGATGTTAAGGAACTAAATTGAAAAAAATATTTGAAAAATACAAATCTTTAAGTAGATTATTGATATACTTATTAATAAGTCAAGTATTTAAATGAAAAAGATTTATAGTGTTAAAAAATATATATAAATATTTTTTTACTTGATTATTTGATTCTATAATATGTAAATTAATTTATCTTTTTTACAAAAAATAAGTTTGAATTCTCCTTCTATAAAAAAATTTAAAAAAAATTTCATACCTGAAGTCAAATTTAGATGAATAACTTGTATTATGTTAAAATAAAATAATATAAAAT